ACGAGCTGTATTGAAGTTGCGTAAGTCCCGCCGCATGCATTTGGAGATCTGTCTGTTCAGATGCCTGTATGCTGTCAAGTCTGTTGAAGAATGTAGCTTAATCTCCCGTCTAACAGCCATGAGATTAAGAGTGTGATCGGAGAGTTTTTGTGTTCTTCTGCGGCGGGTCTTGCAGAACTTAGCTCCAACCGCATGGACAGTTTCCACGAGCTTGTCATTCATATCGTCCACTTCATTGCAGTCTTCCAGGCACTGAAAACGATTTTGTAACTCGAGCTGAAAGGTTTCGGGACTTTGGAACAGAGCACGAGGGGGACGGAGCGTTGACTTCATTAGACGAGACCTCTCCAACTTAACGTTTAGGTTCAGTGTGCCTCTAACCATTCGGTGATCGCTACCAGTTTTCACCCTCGCGATCACGGAGACATCACTGAACAGTTGTCGTCTGGTCGTCATAATGAAGTCAATCTCATTTTTTGTGGAACCGTCGGGGCTCGACCAGGTCCACTTCCTGTGGGGCCGCTTCTGGAAGAAAGAGTTCATCATAAAGAGTCCCTCTTTCTCCATGAAGTCGGCCAGCTGCTGGCCCCTTGGGTTCCGTTGCCCTATTCCAAATTTCCCTACTTTCAGCTCACCGTTCTCTCTTGTGCCTAGTTTTGCATTGAAGTCTCCCATTAACACCGTATATTGGGTTTTGGAGGAATGCATGGCTCTAGAGATATCCTCATACATTTCCTCCACCTCCTCATCGCGGTGTGCCGAGGTTGGTGCGTAAACCTGTATGACCTTCAGCGAATACCGTTTGGTGATTCTGAGTATAAGGTACGCAACCCTCGTCGACACACTCCCGATTTTTACAACGTTGTTAACGAGAGACTTGTGGACGATAAATCCGACACCTCCTTGGGACAGATGGTCGCCCTCCCGGTGATAGAGCAAGTTGCCGGATTCGAGGATTACCGTGTCCTCCCCCTCTCTTCGGACTTCGGATAATCCTATAATATGCCAGCGCAACTTGTCTATCTCTTCTTCCAGCTCCACGATCTTCTCGTCAGTCCTCAGGGTGCGTGCGTTGTACGTTGCCAGGTCGAGTCGTCTAAGGTGGCAACCGAACCTCCACCGGAGATTCTTAGCACCCCCTGCCCCGCCGTTACCATGGTCGCCACCGTAGCCAGGAATAGCGGGGCCGCCGGGGACTGGGGGCCGTTTTTTTGTTGCTCTCATCATTGGGGGGTATTTGCCATAGTTGCCACGCTTGGCGAGTGGGTTGGCAACCGCAGTTTTTTTATTGTAATTTGGCTATTATCAGGAAGATGCTGCTGCCCATCTCCTGGCTGTTTCCCTTTGTCGCCTTTTACGACACCCACGGGAGGATATGGGGTAGTGGATATTCTTGACCGCCACTACACGGCACACAATTCGTAATTAATTATATATAATTTGAAAATTTTTTACATCAATGTTCAATATGAATTAGTAATAAATTATTTAAATAAAAACTAAAAAATTGTTAAATTTAATTCAAAAACCCAATTATACCTGATTACTTAATTATCAATAAAAATACTTATATCAAACATACAACAAGTCTTTTCTCTGGTTCAATTGGCCTTCTAAATCTTGAGTTTTCCATAGGAAGATATAGTTTTAGTACATGTAGCAATTCTTGAAGTTTCTTGTATGTTAAATGCAAATATCTAAAAAATCGTTCATCATCATCTAATAAGTCTTTGAATAAAGTATATCCCCTTCATATTCTCCATAAAATTGCCTTTTTAAATTAATATTATGAATCCAGAATCCTCTTTTTCTCCGAAATTTTTTTCCTCTTCTTTTGCCCATAAGCAGGCTATTACTATATTTCTTTCCATAGTGATTTCGAGCGATCAATTTCACTGTACCGTTTCACACCAGTGGTTGGAAAAAACTACAAAATTTATTGGCAATACAAAAGATTTGTGTACGGTGCGGACGATTTGTACGGGCAAATGTCCGAGGCCATCAGTAAAACTCGGCGCGTACGGCGCGTACGATGCGTACGGTGCGGACAAATGTGCGTTCAGCTTAAGGCCTACTACATTTCAACTTAGGCCTTATTATACTCCTTTTTCTTGTGTAGTTTCTTTGTATTGTTATGAATTTTATATCGCTTTTAAAATGTTATAAATACAAATAAATCGTACGCTTTTATTATTAAACTAATGTCGTAGTCAGAAAAAGGTCTGGTTTCAGCTGTCCAAACAGCGCAAAGACAAAGTGTGTCGAGAATTAAGGCTTTAACATTAGAAGCTATGTGTAAATTATTGGTCCTACGCCTAAGCTCTCTCGGACCGTGTCGAATTGCGATTTGATGATTGTGAGGAAATAGAGAGTGCACCTGTACTTACGCATACATTCTGATACTATACTTCTGTACTGTGTTGATGGGCGAGTCTTCGTTGAGACTAGCCTCTGTAACAGAAATTTGGTTGGGAGAACACGCAACCCAACAATAAACCCAATCCTCAACCCAACCTAACACTCAACTCAACTCGAGACACAACCGACATACTGATGATAATCGCGAGGAGTTACTTTGTTTGTCAGTTTGTTCATGATATTGACTTTAAGTACTGTTAGGCGAGGCAATTTATATATTTTTTAAATTTTAAGTCTTAATTGCTGCACTCATGTGATTAATAATCACAAATATTATATATAATACGTATAAATTGATCATTTAAGTTCGTTAAAGCAGTAGGCCTTGTTACCCTACCACAGATAATAAACTTTAATTCTTAATTAAAAATAACAAGATATTGTCAATGTCTAGGTATACTTTGCGACAAGCTTCATCTATCTTTAAAAACTTGCCGAGTTCATAACAATAAAAAATGTGCAGTAATTACATTAGATAAGTTGATAGTTGTGAACTTGTTTGTGGTCCGAAGTTTAATAAATTGAAAAACAAAATAGTTAAATAAGACCTACTAGCAAGGTTTTTAGAAATGTTTAATTTTGTTTTTCTTTATGGAAAATTTTTGAAATTATTCGTTCATAACTTACAAAACTGTACTAAAATAATGATTTTTATTAAAACCTATAGACCAAATTAGATATTTCTAGTTTTATTTTCGATTTTCCCTTAGCTAGGTCTTATCACCCGCGGTTACCTTATATGAATTACCCGAGCATGTATAGTTCCATTAGTTTGGATTCATCAAAGTTAACTATTAAAAAAGCATGCTGGTCTTCCCCACACTGGCCTTATACCTTTTTATTACATGAAATACGGTGAATGTATTTTCCTACACACTCTATTATTTTCTTATTATAACAATCATGCCTTATATACTTTGGAAATGTGCCTAAAGTACTAGGTGGTAGAGATGAGGTTCTACCAAACTGTGAGTCTCAATACTCGTAGATACGACCTTCATCTCTATTTACGACAAACAGTATTATATCCACAGCTATCTTCCGGACTGTAAGTATAACACTCATCATATTCTGGGTGGCATTTCACCATAGTTCTCGGAGATGACAAAGCATCTCTGTATTGCGTTCGTTGTTCAAGGGCTAATGTTAAATGAACTAAGCATTAGCATTAGTGTCTCTTTAACCACCAGACATCAGGTGAACTGTTACATCGTTTGTTACAGAATTCTTTCTAACCTCGAATATACTAATATTGATAAATAATAATATTATTTTTGGTTGACCAAATTTGTAAGAAAAGTAAATTGTCATGTATTCATATATTTAAAACAATCCTTATTTCAATCAAAACTTCAACAGTTACATTTTTACACAACAATTGTTAATAAAATGCATAAGGGTACATAATATGGGTAAATAGCAAATAAAAACTCTCTTGGTAAAAATTAATAATTTATTTAAAAAGAAACAGACTTACAAATATAAATTTAATCCAAATTTTGGAAAAATAATCCAATAGCGATTTGGTTGATGGTCATTTAAACAATTAGATATGTTTATTGTCTTATGTGATTATAATACAAATGATAATATGACATAAAAGCTTTAAATATTCTAGCAAATTACTAAAATTTTAATGACAACGAAAATAACTAAAAGTAAAAACTATGTAATTTTTGGTAAATAAAAATATTTTACTACTGGATGTACTTACGTTAAACATAAATGCATAATGTAAGGGTTTTTATATTTTTGTTTGAAGAATTAGATTATATTACATGATTTAAATGATTATTTTACAGAAAAAGCTTTTTATTGTCAACCCGTTTGGATGAGATTTTTTATTTAGACAATAATTTATTTCCACGTTTATCTAGTGTAATATTACTCAGCGTGATAGCCTCAAATGTTAACTGAACGATCTGGAAGTATATTTGCAAATAATGTAAGAACTTTAGAGATAGTAGATAATAGATTCCCACATTTTTAAATCTTGAAATATTTAATGACGGAGACTTTAAACTATAACTTGTCATAAAAATAAGGTACTTGCCGTTCAAAACATTAATAAAGCGTCAATAAATTTCCTTAAAGTAAAACATTACTTAAACAATTCAGCTGTATTTGAGATCGTGCTTTATTTGCACATTAAACTCGTGTAAAATCTTATAAACTAACCTTTCTGCGTCAACCTCTTCAGAATTTAGTAACTGCTTTAACAATATTCTAACTTATAATATATATATCATTAAAATCATCAATCAATCATACAAATACTTAATATTATAGTAAAAAGAATCTCTTTTGCCTAACAAAAATCGTATTTCTTCTCACTTTTCAATATATCAATATTTTTTAAAGCGCATTCTTTCATAAAATGGTATATTATCCGTGTTCGATTTTTATTAAGTTTTTGTAAATGATATTAAACCAAGACGTTACATTTTGATCGCATTCATAAGATAATCTCGCTGTCATAAAATCTTTTTTAAAAAGACTTTTATTATATTACATCTGACACAATAAACAGCGTTCTCAAGATACTCCATCAAATATTTAATCAATGTGCTTATTATGTTTGATCATATGATGTGGTCATAATAGGAGTGAACTGTGGTTGAAGTTGCTGGTGGAGGAGCTGGCGTAGAAGCCAGGGATGGAGCTGGTCCTAGAGGTGGCAGTGGCGTGGGAGGTTTACGATCCGGGGGTAGGGCTGGTAACGACGAAGACAAATGATGCCCAAAACTGCTCAAACCGCTGATTGAAGGGTCCACAAGTGAGCCGCCAGATAGCATCTGTTGATGCATGCTTCGCATCCCCGCAAACATCGGCGCCGTACCTTAACACAAAAAATAAGGTGTTATATTTTATGATAGAGAAACTTGGTGAGTATGGTTTACTTATTTGTACATTCGCAAACAAAGGATTTACGAAAATTTATTGAACAAAAAATGTAATACAATAATTATAACAATTATTACATAAAATTACATCTCAGTATAAATGCTGGTCGCAGTAAAGAAATGTTGCACCTTAAATACTGATTTCCGTTTTATGAAAAGGTATTTTACACCTGACAATTTTTGAAAGTTCTCATAGTAAGTACAAAACTTAAAATTGAAGTTGCACTTCCCTTAGTCCTCAGTTGACCTTTTCAATATCCAGGAGAAGCAATACCCACCTGGTAAGTAACTACTGTCACAGATACCTGCAACCAATTTTAAGAAAACAAGATGCATCGTCACCCATGAAGACCAAGATGATACAGGCTGTAACTACGTTACCTTTCGTACTTTTAAAACTGAAATACAACATACTATATATAGGAACTTTGATAAAATATTCATAGTTCATACATAACGTTCAATATAACAAAAAGTCCAGATATCTGTAGGAAAAACCTGGTGCAAGGACGGTAATTTTAAGGATATTGGAACTAAATCAAACGACAAAAACACACAACGGCAGCATTCCGCGGTAGTCTCCCATATACAGCTACTAAATGCTGGAACAACTTGCTCCCACATATCCGTCAACTTAATAGCAACAGCCTTCTTAAGTTAAGTGTAAAAAATACTTTTTTGCGGTTTAACTTTTAGGGAGGATAAAATAGCTGCATTACGTATTCATAGCATAATCGGTAGGTCGGGGAAAAGTTTCTTCGTATTTTGTTTGTATAGAATTGAAGAAAAATCTCTTTGGTTGTACTGTTAGTATCTGGCTGGTTTTAATATTAATACATATAGGAAATTAAGAAAAATAAAAATAAAAAGTAAAAGGCAATTTCCCGCCATTTTCCAATAGTTTTTCTGTCCGCCAAAATGATTAAATCTAACAATCAAATTCGATACATTCTGAAGTTTTATTACAAAAACGGGAAAAATGCGACTCAAGCCGCGAAAAAAATTGTGACGTTTATGGACCTAATGCAGTGTCAGTAAGAGTAGCATAAAATTAGTTCAAGCTTTTCAGTCCGGGAGTTTAGATGTCAAAGGTGCAGTTCGCTCTAGTCGCATAAAGTCGATGCCATTTTTGAAAAAGCGGAGCATGATTCTCATCAGAATTCTCAATTCAAAAATATGCCGATATTAGTAGTTACGAGATGGCCGAGGAATTGAGAATTGACCACAAAACAGTTTTAAGCCATTTTAAAAAGTCTGGCTAGACAAAAAGCTCGATATTTGGGTACCACACTAAAATGAAAGAAGTAATGAATCGTGTACTCATTTGCAATTATCTTTTGAAACGTAATGAAACCGAACCATTTTTGAAAAGATTGGTCACTGGTGATGAAAAGTAGATCACCTACAATTACGATATTTACGCACGTTTTTGAACGTGCGTATAAGATCATGGTCAAAGAGTAGCTCCACAGACTGTAACGAAACCCGGTTTAATACGTAATAAGGTGATGATGTGTGTATGGTGGGATTGGAAGGGCATCGGTTATTATGAGCTTTTACCGTCGCTTTTACCGGATTCGGATCTCTACTGCCAAGAACTAAGGACATTCAAGGAAGAAAATGAGAAAAAACGGCCATAATTGATCAACAGAAAAGGAGTGGTCTTTTATTATGATAACGCCAGACCACACACATCTTTGGCCACTCAGCAAAAATTGAGAGAGCTTGGTTGGGAAGTGTATCCATATAGTCCTGACCTTGCACCCTCAGATTTTCACCTGTTTCGGTGTCTTCAGAATTCTTTGGGCAGTGTTAGGTTAACATCAACAGAGGACTATCAAAACTACTTGTCGCATGTAATTGATCAAAAACCCCAAGATTTCTACAGCAACGGAGTTATGTCACTACGTACAAGGTGGCAACAGGTTATCGAACAAAATAGCGCATATTATGTAATTAAACTATAAAAAAAATGTCTTGAATTTGTATATAAAATACGAAGTAACTTTTTCCCCGTCCTTATATAAATATATTTATTATAACTATTATATCATTATATTATTTATTATATACTTATATCACTAAAGTTTAAATCCTTTTGTAATGCCATTATTTTATTTTATTATTTTGATTTGATAACATCTTTCTCGAACATAGAAATAAAGCGTACACACTATCCTCGCGGGCGAGTCCGACCTCAATACGCATTGCTGAAAACCAACGATACCGCCATCGCGCGATTGCATTTTGTTGAGTCAGTGCCCTTTTCAGTCATGCAGTCGGATTATTTTATGTCTGTTCTGTCCAATTTATTTTTATCTTTATGTTTTTATGTATGCATGTCTAGCCTACTCGTGTGTCTATGTCTAATAAAATTCCACGCGGAAGAAGAAGCATGCACCAGTTGAGATATGCACAAGCATATAACATATGGGCAATGACGGAGCACGGTATGCAACAAATTGCCCTACCTATATTTAAAATTACTAATAATTCAAACACTCCTTAAACCCTACTATTTATCGAACAAAGCTGTTGTAGTGACCGACAGTTGACTGCATTATGAATAGGTTATCCACTTTACACTATGTTCTATCACCACTACATTTCTTTTTAGCTTAGTAAGCATGGGCAACTCTTTGAAGTTATTACTTAATACTCGTATAGGTATCAGAGAAGACAAGGCTATTTTGAATTTAAAAACATAAATTATAAACAATGTTCATTACAAATAATATTTATGATGCATTTAGTTTGAATAATAAGCCCGGGACTTTTTTTACAACTATTTTACTAATATAATGATAACAATCACTTAACGTATGGTGGGCAGTTATATATAAATATTCACATTCGTAACAATAATCCTATTTCCAGAATGTATTATCATCCATGTTTTCCTTAATATTTTTATATAATAATAATAATCCATTTTACCCATTCTTTTTTTTATAATATTTTTAAACGTTTGGGTAAAATTTTGGAAAAATTGTCGGGAATATCTTGCGCCCTAAATACTTTAGTAGTTCTAGAAAACTCCTGTAAATAAAAATTATCTTCAAAAAAGAAGAATTCCCAAGGGATATTCAAGAATGAAAATTATATAATGCAGACAAAATCTGAATTAACTATTTCAGATTTAGGTGTTATATTCAGGTGTTAATAACACAAAATAATGTACAGTAATAGACTGAATATTAAGGTTAAATACACAAAAATACAGACTGTATACTCTGCTGGGCACGGGCAGGCTTGGATCCTTCCACCGTGCTTATCAAAGGCTTCCAGTATTTTTTTATAGGAGAGGGGCCAAATGAGCATGCGGCTCACCTAATGTTAAGTGTCTACCGCCGCCCATGAACAACTGCAACATCAGGGGAATTGCAGATGCGTTGCCGAAAAGGAGTAGGCTCTTTTCTTGAAAGTGGCTAAGTCGTATCGGCCCGGAAATCTCGCTATTGGTAATCGATTCCACAAAGAAGTTGTGCTAGGAAGAATACTTCTTCTAAATCGCACAGTCGTTGACCGCCAATCATGCAGGTGGTATGTATGGTATCGACAGTTTTGTCGCAATGTGCGATGGTGAAATTGAGCGGCTGGAAGTAGTCCGAACAATTCTTCAAAGCACTCCTTGTGGTAGATGAGTTAAAATACGCTTAGAGATGCAGCATCTCTACGCAGTGCCATTGATTCAAGCCGATTGGAAAGAACTCGGTCGTCGACGATTCGAACCGCTCTGCGCTGGATGCGGTCAAGTGGAAGGAGCCGGCACTGGGGAGCCCCCTGCTCAGAGATGGGAACAGTATTCCATGTGAGGCCGAACCTGCGCCGCAAGCCGCAGTTGCAAGAAAAGAGAAGAGTTGCAAGAAATACTGTCCCGCTCTGCTGAGCACGCCAAGGTTTTTTCGACCCACAGAATACGCGGGGCAGTCTGAGCACCCACGCTCAGAAAAATTAGGGTAGCTTGGGCGTGGATGCTCTACAATTGAAATACAATTTTTTTCAGGCAGGCTTCTACACGATGTTTCCCTTCACCGACAAACATGTGCATGTGGTGTAACAATCAACACATAAAATTGTAATTTACGATTACATTGGTGGTAGCGGAGACCTAACCCGAACTGCTCGCGTACTGTGAAAATTATAGCGAGAGTAGATGCTGTGCCTCATAGAAACTTATATCTATCTTCAGTTAAGAAAACAAATGCAGATGCGTTGTCACCCTTGAGAACTAAGATGGGATGCCTCGTTTCCAGTATAAAGGGTCTCCGGTGATCTACACTCACCATACGAAATACAGTAGTATTAAGCTGCTGTTTTACGCTGGTATTCTGTGAGATCGTGGTCTTTTCTCGGTTGAGCTAACCCATTCGTGTTACAATCATAATATAGCTGCAGCGTGGTTCTACATTTAAAACCCCTGAACTATTAGGCTCTTCTGATTAATATTTTGTGGTTTATACAATTTACAATACTAGTTTGTAAAGATCAGAGGATAACTTATATTAACGAGCCGCTGTAGCTTAAAGGATAAGTACTAGCCTCAAGTTTCATAATACGTGAGCAAGCCGACTTCAATCCCCGTCAGAATCAAAGACATTGTTATTTGCGATTTGAAGTGCTGGTTTCTATGGGCGTAGCTTTGATTATATACATGTATATAATCAAAGGTGCTTAGTAAAGGTATACATTGTGAGGAAACTGGAACGTCTAAGGGTGGGTTCGACCAAATACTATATTTTATCAGAGTAACTATGCGCTTAAATTATTCATTCATTCGTTGGTCTTACTCTCAGATAACTTTGCGTTTTTCCATAATAAACATAGAGTAGCTAATACTGGGTATTGTTACTATAGAGTTGGTGCAAAATAATGAAGGAACATGTAAGCGAACTAAAATTGAAATACAATTTTATAATGCTTATATCGTTTTTTG